AGACAGGTCCAGGCTGAAAACTGGGACATTCTTGGAATGGGAGCAGGTAGATTCCCCTTTCTGCCTGAAGGCACAGCAGCACACAGCCATACCTGATACCTTCCGACAAAGAAACAGCTCAGCTTCACCAATGAACCTCATCAAGCAACCACTCCAATGCTCCTGGATCGCGTGGCCATGTACGCAGCCTCCAAATTTCATAGTACTATCAGCCCAGCAGGATCACAGCAAATCTGATGGGAAAGTTTTGCAAAAAACCACCAAACTCAATGAGTCTAAATAATAACATAGAAGGCTAACCTAGCACAAACCAGTCCAGTAAATCTTCAACCTACAATAGTAAATCTTCAATCTATAATAGTTACACCATTGTAAGATATAACAATTATCACAAATTGGCTTTTACTGATCTAAGTTTTGAAAATTCCATTTGCCTTTGTATTGTAAGAAACAGCATGAAGTTTCTCTGTACCTGCTAACAGAGTAGACTGAGGTGGTGGGTAGAAAACTGGAGACACTGGTGGAGGGAAGGTGACACTGGTGATGGGAGTAGTTTTGGAACATTTAGTGCCTGAAACAACTGTATTATGAAAACAAACAAACAAACACTGTCCTCCCGTTGTTCATCAATTTTGCTCGAGCGGGCCCAGTAACGTCTCCATTTTGAAACTTGTTGTTACTGTGTTTGGCATATATTGAATACATCACGGGGAGCTTGCCAGGCTCTGCCGTGCGGGCGAGATACTCTCGGTAGCTTTCCGGGCTCTCCGAGAGGGGCGGAGAAATCGAACCCGGCTCAGCCGGGCTGGCTGCGCACAAGGCAAACGCCCTACCGCTGAGCGTTCGTAAATTATGGTGCTATTACAGAATATTTTGATTAAAAATTTGACTAGATCTACAGAAATAATACTGGGTTTAAGGCATTTTCTGTGCACAAATGTTCTACCCCGCCACCACATATGATACACTGCGAGGGGAGTACTCTTGAGCACAAAGCCAGGAATAGTCCCTGAGCACCCTGGGTATAGCCCATAACTCCAACACTACCAGAAAAACAAGTGCTGGGCTAGAAAAATAGTTCATGGGGCTGGAGCAATACCACAGCAGGTAGGGCGTTTGCCTTGTCCACGGCCAACCCAGGTTCGATTCCCAGCAACCCATATGGTCCCCCAAGCACCGCCAGGAGTAATTCCTGAGTGCATGAACCAGGAGTAATCTCTGTGCATCGCTGGGTGTGACCCAAAAAGAAAAATAAAATAGTTCATGGTTCAAAGGGCTGGGGCACATGTGGGAGCACCAGATTGAATTCCCAACACTGTGTGGTTCATTTTCCCCCCCACATCCTCCTGCCCCAATGCTTTCTCACAAAATTCTTATTGTGTTATACAACATGGATAGAACTAGAAAATGCCGTGTTAAGGGAAATAAATCAGATGGAAAAAGATATACTGGATGATTTCACTAATCTACAGTACACAAAACAAGAAAATGGATAATGTCCAATGAAAAAAATTTGACACTGACAACAGAGTTGAATTTACCAAGCCGGGAAAGGTGACTGGGGGATGGGAAAGGATCTGTGAACAGTGCGGAGGGATACTGGCACTTTGGTGGCAGGGGTGGTGCAATAACACTGTAAGCCTAAAACAAGTATTTCTACAAGTGCAAACCACTGTTAACCTCACAACCATTTACAAAACAGTGGAGCCAGAGAGACAGTACAACCAGTAGGGCACTTACTTCCCTTGGACCCAGGTTTAATCTGCAGTATCCCATGTGGTCCCCCCAAGCACCACCAGGAGTGATTCCTGAGTACATAGTCAGGAATAACCCCTAAGTACAGCTATTGGGTGCTGCCCAAAATCAAACAAACAAAATGCTTCACGTCATTTAAGTTTGGCAACAAGGATTAAACAAGGTTTGTGCATTTCAAAGTTAGAAAGATATCTCAGTGCCTTACATGTGGTACATAAACTGAGAAATGCCAAGAAGGGATGACATGTAGTTTTCCCAATTGATTTATATCATAGTATACTTCTTCCAGATGTATCACTAGAAGTTAGTGGTCTAAAGAATTATGGCCGCTACTCAAGACTATTTCATACTATAGAAATGTTGGCTTCTATTTTTAAAAGCTATTTTTGTTTATTTTACTAATTTCTTTTTGTGGTGCCAGGAATTAAACCTCACTGCATGAAGGTATATGCTTTGCTGCTGTCACATCCCTGACCCCTAGATTTTTATTTTATTAAAAAAAAATTGGGGGGCTGGGAGAGGGATTTTGGTCCATACCTGGCTGTGCTCAGAGTTTATTCATCTCTATGCTCAGAGATGACTCTTGGCAGAATAGAGGGACCATATGTGATGCTGAGATTGAACGCAGTTGGACCCTACCTGAGTTCTAGGCAATTTCCCTACCCGCAATACTATTGCCTCCAGCCCATCCCTGGATACATTTTTCTGGTAGGGTCACACACGGCAATGCACAGGGGTTACTCCTGGCTGTGCACTCAGGAATTACTCCTGGCGGTGCAGGGGGGACCATATGGGATGCTGGGAATCAAACCCGGGTGGGCCGCATGCAAGGCAAACGCTGCCTGGATACATTTTTAAAAAGAAATTTTTATATTGAGAAATGTTAAAGATATCACCAAATTAAGAGCATCCTACCCAGAATCTGAACATCTGACTAAATATTTCATAATTAAAAAAACTCCTATGAAATAAACAAGCATGTTAATTAACACAGATAGGAAGCCCTGATTCAATATCAATTGTTTCTTGGGGCCCTGAGCAGGATTGGGTTATGGAATCTTTGGCAACAGGAGCCCTCTAGTAGGTTATGAAAAAATTATCTACTTGGAGATTTGCAAATCACTAATACAGAGCTTTATTTTGGGGGGGGTCATACCTGGCGATACACAGAGGTTACTCCTGGCTCTGCACTCAGGAATTACCCTGGGGGTGCTCAGAGGGCCATATGGGATGGTTGGTATCGAACCCAGGTTGGCTGCGTGCAAGGCAAACGCCCTACCCACTGTGCTATTGCTCCAGACGCTAGAGCTTTAATGTTTTATCAGAAAAATAATATCCTAGAAGTTTCATCCACAAATTACAGGTGAGTAAGGATATACTGGCAAGTCAAGTTCATAAAAGGTTTCATCTTAAATGCTTGTGGGAAAGTTAGTGGACAGAATGCAAAAATTCTCCGTAGATCAGACATTTATATAACACATACTGGGAAAGAGGATGAAAGAGTGATTTATGTCCCAGGGAAGAAAGGCTGGTCCGAACAACCTCCAAGGAGTCCTACTGAGACTCCTCAATTCTGTGATCTAACCAGTTCACTGGAGTCTGAACAAACAAAGTCTGCAGAGGCATTTCCTCAAATTGTCTTAAGAAAAAAAAAAAGCTTCAAACCCATGGGGTGGGGACCCTGCTTTATTATTTCTTCAACAAACATTCAAGAACTTTTATCAGACCTGGTCTTTCCAAAGTCCTAGAAAAGAAGGACGATAGACTTGACACACTGGGGAAGCTGATCTAAGTTCTGATCCACTACCTAGAAGATGTAGCAGGGAGGGTGGAGAGGTGAAGAAGTAAGGGAGGAGGAGCTGGAGAGAGAGAACAGTGGGGAAGGCTTGCACTCAGCCAAGCCCAGCTCAATCACCAGCACCCCATATGGTCCACTGAAACCCTGCCAGAATTGACCCCTGAGCAGAGAGCCCTGAGGACAGTCAGGCGTGACCCCAAAACTAAAAAACCAAAAAGTGAAAAAGAGAGCGGAAAAAAGAAGAAGTCATGGTTACCCGGAGGGTAGAGTCAGAACCAGGAGATTCAAGGTAACTACTGAGAAGCAGACGTCTGCTGTGGGAAAGAGACGTCAGCGAATACCCGTCCACCACCTTGCCTTCAAAGGTAATCCAGTCCATGGTTGGCATCACCTTGAATTATCAAATTATTCCACCAAGCCCAAGGGACTGGGAGCACCCTAGTTCCACCCCTAGAGTCCCAGAAGGCGGGACCCCTGGGCACTGAGCTGGGCGCGGGTCCCACAGCGCGGCTGGCGGTGACCACAAAACTGAGCCCCAAAACTTAAGTCTTACCAAGCCAAAATTCCAGTCTTCCTGTTAGAAGCCACCTATGGGTCGTGGTTCCGCCTCTCTCAGCCCCAAAGAAAAAGGAAAAAGCCGTTTCCCCCATAGTCCACCGGCGCTCCCTCCCCCCCCCCCCCCCCCGACCCATCCCCAACTCCCGCCCCTGTCTGGAAAATCCCTCCCGTTGTTCGCTTTTTGGGCAAACCATCCTCATTCTTTCGAGTATCCGGGACGGGCTCCCGCTGCCTCTGGACCAGGAAAAAACACCAGGAGTCTCGGCCTCCCTGGGGCTTGCCATCAAAAAGCAATTTCCCCGGTTCCGACCCAAACTCTTCTGAGGTTTGGCCCCCACGAGGGTTTAAAGGGGGATGGTCGGGAAGACAACGCGGTCCTGCTTTACGAATGAGGAAACTGAGGCCCGGCGGGGGGGGGGGGGGGGGGGGGGCGTTTGCGTCCTGAAGCACCATCTGCTGCCGACGGGCCCAAGCCTCGACGTCTCTCGCGCGCTCCCTCCCCAACCCAACTCTGCCATCACGCTTCCCGACCGCGGCTTCTCCACGCGGCGCAAATCCTTTTAAAAGGGCTCCACAGCAGGGGATGGGGGGTGGGGTGGGGATGAAATAACAAATAAACGCGCTCCATAGGCGAGGGGCGGCCTCGGGGGCGGGAGAGTGAGCGCGCCGGGCGCGTGCCTGGGGGGTCTTTGCTCCGTCTGAATCCCCGACGGGAAGCCCCCAAGGCAGCCCGAATCCTCCTCCGGAGCGGCCGGGCCGGGCCAGCGCGGGGCTCGCCGTCTCGGCGCCCCTGGACTCAGGTGTCTCAGCTTCAGGGCCCCGAGAAGCGGCACCCGCTCCCCGCCCCCAGCCCGAGCAGCCACCGCCGCCGCCGCAGCCCCTCACGCACCTGTCCCCGCTCCCGTCGCGCCGCGCCCCGACGATCCGCCCGTCAGCTCCCCGCAACCACTCGGGTGGCGACGGCAGTTCGCCCGGCCGGACCTCGGAACCTTCCTACGCGGACTCCAGTCACCTGACGCGGGACCGCCCCCCTCTCGCTCGGACTTCCGGCCACGGCCGGAAGCGGTTGGTGCGCGGCAGTGTCTCCCGCCCCCCGTGGCCCAGGGCCGGGAGGGCTAAGGTTCCGCTTGCGGGCGGGAGGAAACGAAAGAACACGGTCGGGGCCTGGGGGCTTTGGAGGCAGGGGTCGACATTTCCAAGAACCCTGATAGAGAAGGGAAATGTACAATAAGCTTGCAACTTTTTGCGGCACCAAAATGTAAGGATAGACACGTTTTCACCGGACAGGACCTTGCAGGGAGAAGGATGATTTCTTCTCTAGTGAGGACCCAAGGCTAGACCCCTTTCTCACGATGCGTGCCGCCCCAGAGGTCAAGAATCCTGGGTGACAAAAGGAGAGAGAGAACAAAAGGGAATGCTCTGCCACAGAGGCAGGGTGGGATGGGGGGTGGGAGGGATACTGGGATCCGTGGTGGTGGGAAATGGGCACTGGTGGAGGCATGGGTATTCGATCATTTATAACTGAAACCCAAGCACAAAATTTTGTAAGTTTACAACTGTACCTCATGGTGTTTCACTAATAAAAATTTTTTAAAAATGAAAGAATCCTGGGTGAAGTTTGCTGAGGAGCAACTGCTAAAGCCTGGATGGACTCAAGGCAAAATGCTGGACCCGAAGGAGAACAGAACCACCCAGGGAATCAAGGTGTCACTGAAGTAGGACGCTCATGCAGTGGGACACAACCCTACCAAGGAAGTCACAGTGGAAAGAACCCTTTAACAAGACTGCAGGCAGCTTGGGGTGGAGTTGGGAATTCCGTGAGATGGAGTGCAGATGAGGCACCTGTCTAGGGAACCCCCCTTTCCCACACTACCTCATAACTATCCCAAGCCCAACTTACTGTAACAGAAGTTTGTGAAGTTGGCCACACTGATTTCAGGTGGGGAGAAGTTAGACAAAGGTTCCGAGCTCCGCAGTGCTGATGACAATCCTGGTTCCAAGTCTCTGAAAATTCTGACTGTTGAGATGCCTCTTCAGACCTTGAGGAGAAAGAAGAAACAGCATCCAGTGGAGGAAAAGTACCTGAATAGAGAAGCTGGAGAAACCTACAAGTCTGGCATAGCTGGTAGGGGCGAGAAAGCAGAGTCTTCAGTGCCAGGAAGCTGTGGAAGCAAAAAGAAAAGGGAGCAATATGCAGAGAAGGCAAGGAGGATGACAAATCACAGGATGCATACTGGCTTGCACTACAGAGGCAAGAAAAGGAAGCAGCAGTTACCAGCTGAGAGAAGAGGTGGGAAAAACACAAACCAGATAGAAAGAAAAGAAGAAACAGGAAGAGAGACTGAGGTCAGATCATAACAGCGCCTGATCTATTCCTACCTGGGAGGTGAAGCTTCAGAGACCTGACACCCCTTGGTGAAGAGTATCTCCCAGGGAGAAAACCAAGCTTTAGAACAGCAGGCAGCTGAACACACAGTGGGCCTTCACAGGGCTTATAACCAGAGATTCTGGACTTAGGTACTATCAGAGCCAAACCGGGCCATAAGGGGAAGACTTCAAAGGGGCCTCCCCGTTAGAAGAAGCTGAAAATGTAGACATAGATGAAAAGTACTGGCTTTAAAATATGTGAAGACTGAGAAAAACACAAATTTCAGTCTGTGGGCTTAATTAATTCATTAATTAGTGGGGTTTTTTTTTTTTGGTCACACCTGGCAGCCCTCAGAACTTACTCCTGGCTATGCTCTGAGAAATTATTCCTTATGATGCAGGGGACCACACAGTTCAGCTGTGTGCAAGATAAGCGGCTTACTCACTGTATTATTAATTTAGCACCTGGATTGCCTAACACTGTTATCAAATGATTGAATATATATCAGCTTGGGCTCCAGGTCTATGTACAAAAAGAAAAATGTAAAGATAGTGAGAATGAGCATAATAGTAAGAAAGGAAAATCGCTAGTGTAAGTGTGATGAGGTTATATAGAGTTACATGGAGTTACTCACTTTCTTGGTAAATAAAGAGCTTGGTAGTTCTTTCACAGAGCTAACCATTCTTTGAAGTTACACCTGTTCTGTGTGTGAATCACATGATGTTATTGTCAGGAGTGTTAATAGTAATAGATGTTAAACACCCCGAGAGACAAGAACAATGAAGACTGAAACTCGTGGTATCTGGGACTGTTTAGAGTCTGGAGAATCCAAAGAAGAACCAGGTGACTGATGGACAACCTCCAGCTCCAATTCATGCTTTATACAACACTTTTGCATAAAAATCACAGCCACTTACACTGGCACAGTTTACAATTGCCATGGCAACCCCCAGAAGTGACCAAGTATCATTAGAAGCTGGATTACCCCAGACTCCTCCCACTTGAAACGGCATTAATATCCCACCCTTCTTAATTTGCCTATGCCCATAGAACTTGAAAAGTTGTAGACATCTGTGAAGCTCACTCTTTGATTATACCTGTACTGTGATTCCTAAGTATATTTATTCCTTAATATATATTTTTTATTCTTTATTCCTCTGACTCATGGTTAAATTCTCTCTAGGTTAAATGAACTTGGGACCCATTGGGACCTAATAGTTGTGGTCCTCACCAGACACTGCAACAATAGGAGTATGTCAGAGTAAAGAGGAGACCATATCTGAGATGGTCAAATATAAGTGATTTGAATATCAAAATACAAATTATAGTGGGACCAGGAGATAGTACACCATGCACCTAACCTGGGTTCAATTCCTGGCACCACCTGGTTCCCTGAGCATCACCAGACATGAAGGCGCCGAGCACTGTGGAATGGCCCAAGTAATCCCCAGAACAGCAGGACTGGAATGCTTTATGTCCTCAGGCACTAAATGACTGGCCTACATGGCCAAGAATCATCAGTAGGGGCCCCAGACATCCTGGACAACACTTGGGAGCTCCCCTAATCCATAATGATAATAACAGTACAACACTGAATAAAATGATAACCTGTGAGCTTTTGCTGACAAGTTAATAAAAGGTTATGGTGATGTTCTTTTTTTAGGAGGGGTATGCTTATAGTAGAATGGCAACTAATGTAATGGAATTAGAAAAGTAATGACAGAAAAAAGAGAAGTAATGACAAAAGGGCCTAAGCACTAGTACATCAGGTAAGGCACTTGCCTTGCACATAGCCAACCCAATTTGATCCTTGGCACCCCATATGATCCCTCGAGCCCTGCCAGGACTGATCCCTGAGCACAGAGGCAAGAGTAAGCCCGGGGTGTGGCCAATATTTTTTAATTACTAGTTATGAAGATAAACCAATAATTTCACAGAGGTATAACCTCACAGAACAAGTTAACCAAAGTGATCAAAGTTAACATCCCTAATAATGAATCTAATGGGATCACGTGCCTTCTAATAGGACCGAGAAGGACAATTCTCTTCTATGTATGTCTTTCTATTCTCCCTCTTCTCCTTCTTCTCCTCCTCCTTTGCCTCCTCATCCTTCTCCTTCTTCTTTGGGCCACACTCTGTGATGTTCAGGAATGAGCTGCATGAAAAGCTACCACATAAACCCTATATTATCTTTATATCCCATTGGATTATGTAATTTTAAAAGAAATATCACCAAAGATGAAACAAAGAATAGTGCATAACCTTAGAAGCACTAAGGACCATTAGGGGTTACACTGAACACAGACTCAGGAATAGACCCCTGAGTACCGTTGGGTGTACTCTACCCCTGCCAAAATGCATAGCCCAAATCTCATGAGGAGGCAGGAAATAAACCTAAATTGAGGGCCACTCTACAAATTAACTGTAGGAGCTGTAAAATCAAGGGAAGATCAGGGATCTGCTCCTGGCTAAAGGAAACTAAATTGCTGATTCCAAAGTATGGCGAATCTAAACTAGGTCTTGGACTGAGGCAAAGGACAGAATAAGTAATGGACAGTATTGGGACACATTGATCTTTAATTGTTTGTTTTGTGGTCATACCTGCTGGTGCTCAGGGCTTGCTCCTGGCTCTGTGCTCAGGGATCACGCCTGGCAGATTTCAGGAGACCATATGTGGTACAAGGATCAAACCAGGATCTCCACATGCAAGGCAAGCATCTAAACCCCTGTACTATTTTTCAGGAACATTGAACTTTAAATACAAATTATAGATTAACTCTTAATACAGACAGCAGTGTCATACATACAGCAATGTTAGCTCTCTAAATGTAATTGTGTTGTGGTTGTGCTTAAGGAATGTCTGTGTTCTTAGAATGTATTTAGAAGTAAAAGGGCACAATAATCTCAACTTTATTAATAATTAATTACTAATTAATCATCCTACCAAACATGTCTTTCCAAATGCGTCAGAAAAATATGTATATATATTTACATATACATGTGTGTAATAGAGAATAAGCAGATGAAGCAAAATATAAATAATTGAAAAATCTAGAGAAATATATGAGATTTTCTTATATAAATTGTGCGTTGAAGTACATAATATATATGAGAATTCTTTTATGAAAGTGTATAGAAAAAAAACACTTTTCTTCAAGTGTATTCTTGACACCTCTCTTAACATAAGAATCACAGAACTCAAGTGGATGAACTGGTTGGAACCCTAAGGGTGGCCAAGAGCTTACCTGCAATCTGAGCTTTTACTTCACTGTAATATAATCACAACAAAATACTGTAAAATTCTCCTCTCTTCCGGCTTGCATCTCTTGACAGTTTCCAAAACTCTTTACATGTTTTGAGAAGGGGATGGTGGTTCCAGTGCTGAGAAATCTCCACCCAAGAGGCCAACTCTTCTGGAAAAAATCCTCTTTTCTCATGAATCTCCAGCCCCAGACTGAAAGAAGCCTTTGAACTACTCAGATTCTGTCCCTTGAGGCAGCTCTTCTTCGAGTTTGTGTCCCAGGCCCTGTGGCTTTGTAGTATTACTGTATTGTCCCCCCCAAAAAAGCTGCTTTTGGGGCCAGAGCAATAATACAGTGGGTAGGGCATTTGCTTTGCATGTGGCCA